TATTGGGCTACACACCATTCAAAGTTGGCATGAGGAAAAGTGGGCTGTAAACCTTGAAGTGTCATAGAAAACTGAGCTACCACTTCAATGGAAATCACTGCTGTTCTTCCCTATTTACACGACAACAAGAAAACCTTTGATGTACATCAGCCCTGGGGCTTAGAAAGCACATTGTCACCTCATTTGATGATCCTCAGTGAAGTAGGCCATTAAAGCATTTCCTGGACCTGTGATTATACTGGTATCGAAAAATCCTAGTGTGAAAATTCCCTCCACCAATACTGAAGGGCAACTCCTCAGTAATTTATAATTTTAGAGAGGTTTTTGGCACTTTGAGAGATTAAATGTCTTGGCCAGGGACAGTGTCAGAGGCAGGATTTGAATCTAGGACTTCCTGACTTCTGGGTTGGGCATCTATCCACCATACCACACTGCTTCTATTTTATAAATGGGGAAATGGAGCCTCTGTAATTTGATTTAGGTCACATGGTTAGTAAATAGTAGAGCTAGAGCCCAAACTCAGGGCTTTTGGCTCCAGATCTATTGCTTTTTATACCAAGCCAACAGCTTCTGCTCCTCTGGGCTGTTATAAACATGCCTGGCAATGGATAAATCTGGTGGATCTCAAGTGATGTGGGTCTAATATACCTTCTACAAGGCAGCCAGGAGGTGTCATGGTGCACAGGCCTGGCGTCAGGAAGATCTGAGTTCAAATCTGGCCTCAGACACTTACTAGCAGTGTGACCCTGGGCAAGTCACTTCACCCTGTTTGCCTCAGTTTCCTCATCTGTAAAATGAACTGGAGAAGGAAATGGCAAACCACTCCAGTATCTCTGCCAAGCAAACCCCAAATGGGGTTTCACATTACTGAAATGACTCAACAATAGTGTTTTCCCCCCTTTCATTTGTGGAATATTAATGGGCTGCTTTTCTATCCAAACTTTTAAAGTCCTATTTTAAAGCTAAATAGTCAGGTTCTCTGCCAGAAAGCCAGACTTTCAGACTAGACTTCCTGAGTCCAACTAACTGAAATGAAGAGACTCTCTTTGCCTGGCTTTTGTTATTCCTGGTGTTGACAGTATGCCACTGGGAGGGTTGGGGGGAAGGTTCAAAGCAAAGGGGAACTGGGTGCAAACAACTGTCCCACCACTTTTAGCAGCCTATAAGGTCTATTGTGCAGTCCTTTCATATGGATTCCCCCAGAAGAATGTAAGCTCCAGGAGGGCAGGGACTGCACTCACTTTGGTCTTTACATCCCCAAGCCTAGTATAGTGTCAGCACATTGCAGGTACTTAATGTAAGTTTATTGGTTGATTTCCTGTGGATTGGTCAGAGGTAGAGCTGAAAGGGGCTCTGGTAGTTTCCAGACCACGGAGCTGAGGTCTGAACAAGTTATGTGACTTGTCCAAGGTCACACAGGCACAAAATCCAAAGCCAGGATTACGACTTAGGTCCTCTGACTCCAAATTCTCCACTTTTCCCACTACAACACGCTTGTGCTCTTTTTGAGTTCTTTAAGTCTAGAAGGCAACTTTGTTTCCCACTTTACCAGGCCAGCGAGTTGTTCAGAACTACTTACATTTCCTACCGGCCTTTTAGGGAGCTGTGTAAAGTGATGAAAAGAACTCTCAACGTGGAGCCAGGAGATCTTGGTTTAAGCCCCCTCCCTCTGGGCCTCCACCTCAAAATCAGGAGGTCGGAAAAACAACACACACACACAATGACTACAATGTAAATGTAAAGGACAGCAACAAAAACCCCTGAATACTATGTAACTATACTGACCATGCTTAGGCTTGAAAAAGAGCTGGGGAAAGTGAACCTCCCTCCTTTCACTGCAGAGGTAGGGGCCTTCGGGTATGACACCTCAAATACACCAGCCAACTTGGTGGATGTGTGGATTAATTTTGTCAGACTATTTTGTTTTTGTTTTTGTTAGGCAATGGGGTTAAGTGATTTGCCCAGGGTCACACAGCTAGTAAGTGTTACGTGTCTGAAGTAGGATTTGAACTCAGGTCCTCCTGACTCCAGGGCCAGTGCTCTATCCACTGTGCCACCTAGTGGCCTCCGCTAGACTATTTTCCCCCATTTTTATTCTTTATTACATTCACACAAAGGATGGACTGACTAGGAGAGAGAGTAAGGATACTTTTGGAAATAAAGGTAATAAAAATAAAAGAGATTAATAAAAATATTTCTAAATTAAAGGAAGGGTTCAGATCTGACACCTGAGGCCCAGCTCAGATTCTAGTTTACAGAATAATTTCCTCACAACTGTCCTGGTGGGTAGCAATTCAAGTATCCTTACCCTCATTTTATATAGAGAGAAACTGAGGCTCATAATGTCCTCCTCAAGGTCAGGACACATCTCAAATACTGATTCTCTCCTGCATCAACTCATCCTGGTTCTGGATCCAGGTAGGCCACTTCAGCTTTAGCTTTCAGACTTTAGTGTCCTACTCTGTAAAATGTGGGGATTGGCCTAGCAGATCCCTGAGATTTCTTTCAGCTCTTTATCTTGGATTCTGGGATCACTGGGGTCAGCACTGAGGAAGGCTGGGACAGCCCAGGGCAAGGACAATTCCATCAAAGCACCTGGACCAAAGTAGGAACGAAACTCATCTGTCAGCTACAAGGTCTGGCACTGGTACTGTCTATAGACAGAAAGGGATGCGCGTCCATAGCCGGGTCACTTGGATTTTCTGAGCCTCACTCTTCCCATCAGCAAAATTGGCATAACACTACAGGTAGCGCCTACATCACGGGGTTGTTTTGAAGCTCACATGAGCTGTTGACCACCTGGTCCCCTCAAAAAGCTCCAATAGCTCCCTATTACCTCCTCTGTTGGTTGTTAAAAGCCCTTCACAACCTGCTCTCTCTGCTGCCACCTTTGTTACCTGTTTCACCTTGGGAAGCCATTTCTCCATAGAAACCTCAATTTCCTCATCTGTAAAAACAAGGGGGTGGACTCAAAGGTCCCTTCCAGCTCTTACATATCATGTCCCAAGGTCTTATCATCCCCATTTTGCAGATGAGAAAACTGAGGCTCAGAGACGTTAAATGACTTGCCCACAGGTTCCTAGAGGTCAGGAGATGTTTCTGTGTCTCGTCTCCATCAGTGTATCCCAACACTTAGCTCTGTGTCTGGCATACAGCAAGAACTTAATAAATGTCAATTCAACAGAAGGATCAGATCACCTGGGTCTGAGTCTGCTCTGTTTCCCACAGCACTGCAGGCTTTATACATAAAGGACTTTCTCCATTCAACACAGGAAATACAGGCCGCAGGGACCAGCTTTTCAGGATGGAATGAATGGGGGGAAGGGGCTGGCCCTTCTCCATGGTGATGACAAGGTTGAAAGAGCCCTAGATAGGAAGTCAGGAGGCCTGGGCTCTGACTCCTGCTACTCCTTTGCTAGGTCACTTTCAGCAGGTTATTTCCTCTCATTGGGCCTCAGTTTCCTTATGTGTAAAATGAGGGGGTCAGTCCCTAGGGCTCACTCTAGCTCTAACATTCTATAATTCTATAACATCCTGAGCCAAAATTGTCCCCCAAAGTCAGTCCTGTGGGACGTCAGAGATGTTTTGTCCAAAGCCAGCTCCAGATGTAGCTGGTCAGAAGCAGCAAGGAGAAAAACTACCCCATTTCTAAGGGACATTTTTGCCCTGAGGAAGAATTCCATCCCAAGAGCCAAAGCACAGAAACTTCCTGCAGGCTGTCCTAGTTGGCACACAGCTGCATTCTCAGAGGGACCCAGGTTGGCAGTGGTCTGACTGGTGGGGGGAAGGGTGGTTTCAGGCAGGGGTGGCCTCTGTCCCTCCAGACACCAAGGCTGGTCACTGAACCCTTGGGGAAAGAGGGTATAAGTGGGAAGCATAGAAAGCAGGGAGAGAGAAGCCATGGCACAAATCTTCAGAAGAAGAAGTGGGGAGGTCAGTGGGCCCACCTCACCCTAGACACCAAGGCCAGTCCCTGAATCCTCTCTGGAAAGGATAGAGTAGAAAGGGAAGCAGTAGGGATGGGAAGACATAAAAGGGGAAGGGAGAGAGACCACGGCACAGGTCTCTAATAAATAACAAGTATTTATTAAGCATGTCCTAAGTGCCAGGTAATGTGCTAGGTATTTGAGAGAGTGGGTGGTCCCTGGCTCTATTCTACCCTAAACACCAAGGCTGGTTCTGTGCCCGCAAGAGAAGCAGCAGAATAAGGTTAAGTGGGGAGTATATAAAGTTAGGAGGAGGGGAGATGAGGGAGACCCACAGTGGCACAGGACCCCAGGAGAGAGAGTGAGGAGGTTCCTGTCTCAACCTCATCCCAGATCCCTGAATCCTCTAATGAGATAAGGAAGAGAGAGAGGGAGGTAGCTGGTTCCATCCCACTCACCCGAGACACAGTCTAGTCCTTGAGACATTTCTAAAACAGACAAGGGCAGGGGAGTTCAAAGGCAAAGGGAAACAGCAGATAGGCTAGGGCCCATCCTAGGAGAGAGGGCAGGAGGTCACTGGTCCCCAGAGTCTTCTTTAGGGCACATGGAGTATGGAGAAGAGAGGGAGGAAATGGAAGTAAAGACACACTCAGGTGTATATGTGTGCTGTGAGTAGAGGGGAGAAGTGTCTGGGCCCTTTCCTGTCACAGGCTAGTCCTGGGAATGAGGGAGTCTGCATAAGGGGAAGGGGGGGTGTGTATGGTGGCTTAGTAATCAGTTCTGGGGAGGCTGCTCTGTGCAGGGGATGGGGGAAATGGGGTGCAGGGTTTAATCCTTATATTCTGTGTTTTCACATGTAGGTGGCTTCATTACTCCTGTGTGACACTGGACAAGCCACAACTTCTTTGGGCCTCAATTTCTTCAACTGTAAAACAGGAGGGCTGGCCTCCGAGGTTCTTCCAGCTCTAAATCTATGCTCCTATGATCCACTGCTCAGTCCTTGGGAGTGGGGGCAGTGCTGTATGGTACCTGTGCAGTTGGGAAGGGGCAAAGGGGGCTGGCGCTGCTGCCTACCTGAATGCCATTGGGATACACCTCGCCCTCCCCGAGGGAGTCCACCAGATCTTCCTCATCGAGCGTGGCCCGCTTGTAGGACGACATCTGAAACAACAAATGCAGAATCGACTCCCTGAGCACTTCCATGGCTTCTCGGGAAAGGAGGGCGGAGGGGCCCAAACCCCAAACGCGCGTGGCCCGGCCCAGCCCCAGCCCCTTGCCTGGCCCCTTGGTGTCCCGGCGGCAGCGCGGGGCTCACTCACCCCCAGCCTAGAAAGCAAAGCGGCGAGCTTAGCGGCCACCGGGCTGGCAATGAGGCAGGGGCTCCGCATGTTGACGCCTGGGCTCAAGTCGCCCGCCCTGCTGGGTCCGGGAAGGGCAGGGCAGGGCAGCCAGAGAGGGCCGGGGGTGGAGGGGGTGGGGCAGGGGCAGGAAGGGGGCGGGGCCACGCTGCCCACCCCAACCCCCAGCCCACCCCCAGCTGAGACCCCGCCCCCAGCCCGGAGATAGCCCAGCGAGGCCGGCCTGGCACGCCTGGCTCTGCCCAGCCAGAGGCCTGGACAGGGCCCCAGCGAGGCTGGCCTCCGGGACCGGACAGGACCGGGCAGGTCGGCAGTAGGTGAACCAGAGGCAGCCTATGGGGTTCCTCTCTCCCAGGTGCCCACAAGCTACAGCTACGATGCAGAGAAGGCCGGGGGGGGGGGCGCGCTCCTGGATTAGCTAACTGTCCCGAAAAACTCAAGAACTACGTGCCTCTCTCCCTTTCTCCCTCTTCCTCCTCTGTCTCTCCCTCCCTCTTTCCCGCTCTCTTTCCTTCACTTTCTTCCTCCCTTCTCTTCCTCCCTTTCTTTCCCTCTCTTCCTCCTTTCTTCTGTTTCTTCCCCCCTGTCGCTGCCTTCCACCTCTCTCTGCCTCCTCCCTTCCACCTCTCTTCCTCCTCCCTTCCTCCTCCCTTCCTCCTCTCTTCCTCCCCTTCCCTCTTCCCAGCATTCTTTCTCCCTCCCTTTCTCCCCTGTCTTTCTGTCGCCCTTTCTGCCCTCTCTTCCTTCCCTCTGCTTCTTGATGGATGTGGGAGGGTCCTCACAGTGCCATCCCGCGGGCACCCACACTCTTCTCTTTCCAATCATCTTCCACACAGCAGCCTAAAGCACAAGTCTGACCACAGTATCAATCAAGAAGCATTTAAGTGCCTCCTGTGTGCTGGGTAAGCACTGTGGATTCAAAGACAAAAGTCAAAACAATCACTGCGTTCAAGATGTCCACTTATCACTTGCCTTCCACCCCTCCCCCCCAAAAAACCCCCCAAAACATTTTCAAAAGTACCCTGAAGGAAAAAAATACAAGCAACTTGAAATTCAAGAGTCTTCATTTTCTTGGACCCTTAGTTTTCCAAAGAGCATCTCAAAGGTCCCTTCCATCTCTAAATTTATGATCCTATAAGCCTCCACAATCTAGCTCCAGCTCTTTGCAGCATTATTTCTTTGCATTCCTCTTCAAGAACTTTACATTTCAGGTCAAACTGGACTCCCTCTCCCCACCCTCACACTCAGTCGGCATCTCCTGCCTCCCCTCATCTGTGCCCTTCTACGCTGAGCTCAGGTGCCACCGAGGTGAAGGCTCTTGTGATTCTCCCAGAGACATATCTCCTTTGCCCCTATCCCTCCCTCCCTACCTTGTTCACACTCACCTGTGGAGAGGTCAGGCCCTTCCAGGAGGATGAAAGCTCTCCAGAGGTAAAGACCACAACCTGGGTAACTTTGTAGCCCTACCGGGCTAGCACCAGAGGTTCAAGCGAACTGAAACCAGGGCTAGGGCTCTAGCTGGAGTCATCAGGGAACAGAAACTACCAAAGTGGAAACCCCTGGGGGAGGTGGGGAGAGGCAGAGAGAAAGAGAGAGAGAAGGCCAAATAGTCCTTGACCTCAAGGAACTCAGTCTGAGGGAGATGACATGGAAATAATGAGGTATGTAAAAGATATCTAGGAGGCAGATAAAGTAAAATCTGGAAGGGGAAGACAGCTGGGCGGGTGGTGGTAGTGGTAAGAAAGGCCTCCTCTAGAACGTAGGATTTGAGCTGAGCCTTGAAGGAAGCCAGGGAAACAAGTGTGTGGGGACACCCAGTGCAAAGGCACAGAGATAGTAGACAAAAGCAAAAACAGTTCCTGACCTTAAAGAGCTTACAGTCTAATGGGTGGGGCACTATGTGTATTCTGCATGCTTGTGTATATTCCCATCCTCTTCCTCCTCCCCACATCAGTGTGTGTGTGTGTGTGTGTTGGTGTGGAGGGAGTGCATTCCTGGCATTCAGAAGAGCCAAAACAAAGACACAGAGGTGGGAGGTGGAGTCTCACGTATGAGAAACTACAAGAGGACCAGTTTGGCTAAACCACAGTGACCACAGAGGGGAGTTATGCAGTGTTTGAACAGAACAGGTGGGGGTGGGGAAGAGCTCGTAGGTCTTTTTTAAAGAACTGAACAGAAAGAATAAGAAGGCTCGGAGAGGCTGTGATCTGCACCAAGGGAAAGTGGTAGCCATACCCAAAAGATCCCACATCCAGCCAAGGTGGAGAAGAAGTGGCATCTGAGCTAGGCCCTGAAGGGGATGGCAATGAGGGCAAAATATCCTTCTGGAGAAAAATCTTTCCAACATCTTACTCTGGGCTTCCAAGTTGTTGGAAGTCCTTTCCTGTGCTTTGGCTCTGTGATTATGGTGCCAGGTTTGGTCCCCACAGACACAGGGGAATTTCTTTTTGTCCCTGCTTTGCAGAAGTGGGCGACTATGGGTATGTCACAGTGTATATAAGGTCAGACTGGGCTGATATGTCCATTCGTTTTGCCAAACTGCTTTCCTCTTACTTTTTTATTCTTTGATATAAGAAATGGTTCTCTGCATAGGGGAAGGATATATTCAGAAATGAAAGTAATATAAATCAAGAAGAAATTCTGTGATTCTCAAGAAACTTGGGCCTGGAGAGGCTCTGAGAAAGTAACTGCACCTTCTTCCCTTCTCTGAAGAGATTGGGGCTGGGGGGTGGAGGTGGGTGTGGTGCAGTGATATGTTGTCTGACTTGGCTGCTTTTCTTTCTTCTTTTTAGAAAAAAAATTTTGTTATAGGGCAGCTAGATGACTCAGTAGATAGGCCACTGGACCTGGGGTCAGGAAGACCTGAATTCAAATCCTGCCTCAGACAGTGACCCTGGAAAAGTCACTTAACCTCAGTTTGCCTCAGTTTCCTCATCTATAAAATGAGATTAATAATAGTACCTACCTCCCAGGATCAAATGAGATGATATCTGTAAAGTGCTTTGCAAACTTTAAAATGATATATAAATGCTAGCAGCTGCTACTGTAAAGCACTAGGTAGGGGAAAAGGGAAGGACATATTTGGAAATAAAAATGATATGAAAATAAAATATATTTATCAATACAATTTAAAAAAAAAAGAAATTCTATGCTTCTGAGTCAGATTCCTGGGCATTATTCTCTCTCGCCCTTACAATAAAAGCCATCACATTACCCAGACTTGTGATTGAGGCCCTATCTCAAAGCCCCATCCCTATTGTTTAAATCCTTGCTCTGTGTCACCACAGGCAAGTCACTTCTCTTTTCTGGGCCTCAGTTTCCTCATCTGTAAAATGAGTGGTTGGTCCCAAAGGTCTCATCTGAGGTCCCCAATCAATCCTAAATCTTATGCAGTCTAAGCTGGTTTCCCAAGACAGGAGAGCCTAAGGAACGTCAGGCAGTCTCAGATAGGGCCAGAGAGCAGGCACATCTCTGCCATGTCTGGGTTTGCTAATCTGTTTGTTTCTACCTCATTAAAAATGTGCATGGCAACCTATGGGTTTATTATTATTTCCTATTTTGCATATTTATTTGATTTTTTGTTCTTGCTGATGGCTGTTTGCAATTTTTTTAAAAAATTAACCCATGATGTTAGTGCCAGAAGGGACATTAGAAACATTAGGGAAAAAATCCAAATCTAATCCCTTCTTTTATGGATACAGCAACCGAGGTCCAAGCAGTGGAGGCCTATGGGCCACTCTGGTCACCAGCCTCCCCCTCCTGGGCTTCTCACCTTAGTAGCTGTGCCGCTTAGAGGCGTCTGAGTAGTGAAATGGAAAGAACACCAGGTTTGGATTCAGGGGACCTGGTTTCAAATCCTACCTTTGTCAATAATCTGCCTTATGCTTAGAGCTAGTCATGCTTCTCTGCTCAAAAACCTTCCTCTCACCTCCCGAGTTAATTTCAGTCAGTCAAAGAGCATTTACTAAGCACCTACTGGGTACCAGGCACTGTGCTAAGTGCTAGAGCTACAAAGACATGCAAAAGATGGTCCCTGCCCTCAGGGAGCTCACACTCTAACAGGGAAGAGGACATAAAAACAACTGTGTCAGTATAAGATAGCTATAGCCAGACATATCTAGATACCTACACAGTATGAATGAAAGGAATTCTCAGAAGCAAGACTTTTAATGTCAAATAGAATTGTTTAAATTTGACCTCCGCCTCCTGGCTTCCTTCAGGTCTTGTCCCAAATCCCACCTTCTGCAACAAGCCCTTCCCAGCCAGCCCTCCTTAATGCTAGCGTCTTCCCTTAGAGAGTATCCCCAATTTATTCTGTATATATCTTACTTATGAGTGCTTGTTTTTATGTTGTTTCCCTGTTAGACTGAGAGCAGGGACTGTTTTCTCCCTTCCTTGTATCTCCCGCACTTAGCACAGTGCTAAGGAATAAGTAAGTGATTGTTGACTTTTGGACTTGACTTGATCCTGGAGGTGATAGGGAGTCACAGCAGCTCCCTGAGCAGGGAGTGACAAATCCTCCTTTAAGGAATTTCTAGGGGGCAGCTAGGTGGGGCAATGGATAGAGCACTGACCTTGAAGTCAGGAGGACCTGAGTTCAAATCCGGCCTCAGACCAAACACTTGACACTTACTAGCTGTATGACTCTGGGCAAGTCACTTAACCTCAATTTCCTATTTTTTTAAAAAAAAGGAATTTCTACAGTCCGGCCCTTTCATACCTTTCTAATTTCCCTTCTAGGACTTTACACAAGCTAAACCCAAGTACCTGCTCTGGCCTCCATGTCCCCCATGGCCTTGGTACCTTTGCACCATGAATTCAAACCCATCCTTTAAAGTCCTACTCCAATGTCCCCTCCTCCAAGAAGCCCTCCTGGATTCCTATCTTGGCCCTCACTTACTATTTGGTTTGGCACCTCTCAGATGAGCCTTAGCAAGTATCTCAGTGAACTCTCTGTGTCTTATCCCTCTACCAGGCTGGAAGTTCCAAGGCTACAAGGCCTGGGTATTATCTAAACTTTGTCTCTCTTCCCTACGCCCATCCTGACCCTTAGCACACCGAAAGCAGAAGATAAAACATTTGATACAGGAATGAACGAATGACTTGCCCAAGGTCACATGGCTAAGAAGTGTCAGAGCCAGGATCAAGTTCTGGGTTCCTGCTGCTCCTGCTGCCTTGGGACAGAACTTTATGCCCTCTCCTCTTCCTCTCCTCCCTTTGTTTCTCAAGTGAAGTGGGCCCCATGCCTGCGGGAGAAATCTGCCTTGAATTTGAGTTAGGTGCTCAAAACAAAAAAAAAGGCTCAAAGGAGACCAAGAGAAATCGCAGCAGAAATAGCTCCCTCCTCCTCCGGACTATTTTGGCCCTTGGTTACCCAGAAAACTGATTAAATCCAGACCATGTGTGCAGAATGCAGTGCCCATCCATGGAAACGGCTAGTGTGGAAACCAAGGGTGCTGAAAGGAATTGCCAACATCAAAAGCCAAGGGTGAAGAGAGCTTTTACATATGTTAAAGGGCTGTTATTCATCATAACAGGGCATGCTTCTAATGGCCCCCAAATGTCACTGAAGAATCAAGCTGTTTTGTACCCTCACTTCCAGCCCCTCCCAATCTCAAAATATCCTTGTGGTTATCCCTAAGAGAACTGATTGGGGGAGGGGGTGGACATAAACCAGATAATCTTTAAAAAATCTTCAGGGTTGTTAACAATAATAGCTGACTCCCTACAAGAGGGATCTGAGGGTCTTAGTGGACCCAAGCTCAATATGGTTCCACAGTTCTATATGGCATTATGATCTTAGGCTCCATTGAGAGGTACGGTGAATTACCAGCATAATGTAGGTGAAAATAGCCCCAAGAAAGATCAGAATTCAGAACAGACCCGACTGATGACCAGTCTTGGTTCCATAGAACTAAAGATGAAATACTGGACTTCCTTCCTTTATGTAAAGATGGAGGACTACAAACTTAGAATGCTGCATTTGTTGCAAGATTCAGTCACTGTGTCAGTCTCTTTCAGTTAGCTATTTTCTTTGGTATGAAGGAGGGCTCTATTGGGTCAACAAGGTTATTAGAAAGTAGAAGTGGAGTAATTAATTAAACAGAAATTAATGAAGAAAACATTAATAAAACAAAGCTAAAGGTATCAGATCCAGGACTAGGGAGGTGAAGAGCGTCACTGTCCTCTGTCCTGGCTAGAGTACACCCGGAGCATGGAGTTGGGTTTAGGAAGGCTAATCATAAGCTGGGCGGCATCCAGAAGTCTACTAGGAAGGTGAAGGCCTTTGAGATCAGACCCTATGAGAACTGCTTGAAGGAAGTGGGGACGTTCAGCCTAGAGCAGAGAAGATTCAGGGAGACTGTGCTAAGTGTCTTCAGGTATCTGAGAGGCTGTCATGTGATGGATTAGCCTTGCCCCAACAGGGAGAAAGAACTAGGCGTAACGGGAGGAAGTTACAAAGAGGCCCCTTTAGGCTTAATACTAGAAAAAACCTCCATAACCATTGGCCCCATCCTAAAATGGAATTTGCTCTCAGGGAAGGGAGCAGGTTCTCTCTCATTGGAAGTCTTCAAGGAGTTGCTGAGAGACTCCTGCACAGGTGGCTTAGAGAAGGATTGTGTGGTGGATGTATGGTAGATGGGATGGCTGCTAAGGCCCT